CGCTTTTTATTACCTTTGAACACTTATCGTTTTTCCTAAAAATTAAGCTAGCGTTTCCACGTTAACAATGACTTGGAATTATTGAGAATTCCTAGGAATTCCCACAAATTCTCATTGGTGTGTTAGCAATTCCCAATAATTCCCATAAGTTCCAAAGACAATTTCCTTCAAACTTGGAATTATTGGGAATTCCTAGGAATTCCCAAAAATTCCCACTGGTGTTTTAACCCATTCCCAAGTATTCCCAAATATTCCAAGGTTTTTTATCTTTGCTCATTTGCATGTCTTGGAATAAATTGGAATTCCTAGGAATTCCTAGGAATTCCCAGAACTCTGGGAATTCATTTCGCAAGGGCAACTGGCGATCGCGAGTTATAACTGGCGATAGCAAGTTTTAACAGGCAATCGCGAGTTAGAAGTGGCGATCACGAATTATAAGTGGCGATCGCGAGTTATAAGTAGCGATCGCGAATCGTAAGTAGCGATCGGGAGTTATAAGTGGCGATCGCGAGTTGTAAGTCGCAATTACGAGTTATAAGTGGCGGTCGCGGATTATAAGTTGCGATGGAGAGTTATAACTTGCCATCGCGAGTTTTAAGTCGAAATCGAGAGATATAAGTTTGTATTGCTATTTATTAACTTTGATCGAGAGTAAGTCAAATCGCAAATTATTAAGTGGAAATGAAAAATATCGAGATGTCCCTTATGGGCCACCGTAGTTTTGGGCTTTTTGGTCCTTTTTTAACCATGAATATTTTTCTTCATGGACCCATTCAGCTTTTCATTTAAGCTCTTACGATAAAAAAAAAAATCAAAACCAGCAAGGATAGATCTTCCACAGGTACCTCATTTTAGTAGCAAATTTTGACCATCTACGCTAAACTAACAAGCAATTAACATTTGGGGAATTTTGCTATTTACCTGCTACTCTTTGCCCTTTTCCTGAAAAAAGGTAGCCAGCCAAAACTCCACACAAAGGAAAGACAATAAAGTGGGCAACAAAACGGGCTGTAAAAAAGGACGACAAAAGGGAAAAATGAATGCAAGGAAAGAATATTGAACACAGATTCCTTCCCTCCCCCAAAAAAAAAAAACTTTGTCTTGAAATGCTCGAAAGACAAAAATCTTATTAATTTCATCCAACTGGTAAAAAAATTTGCTTTGAGTGTTAAAAATCTCTTTTTTAGCCATTCCCATGCTTTAACTAGCCCAAAACTGCTCCAAAAAGGATGATCTGGTAGAAAATGCTGTTTTTTTGTTACCAAAATGGTCGTACTAAAGAGTTAAAAAACTGGTATTAAAGCTTAAAAACCTACTGTCATGCTACTTGTAAGATTAGTACTTGTAGCTAAGTATGTTCAGTGAGTTTAAAATTCTGTGGTTTGGCCTTAAAGGGATATATATTATATCCTTTTTTATGTTCTTTTTTTCTAAAACTGATCTATTTGATCTTAAAAAACATAGGAGCACCCAACCCCCTCCCTTAGAGAAGAAAACCCTTTTGGACTAGAAAGAGATAATGGACTGTTTACCCAAAAATCTGCAATGTCATTACCACAAAAGCAAGAGAATACTTTGTTTCAGTGACATACCTTAAATTAAACCTTTGAAGTGAAACGTCTCAATGCAAAACTGCTTTGGCTAAATTTCCCCTCCCAACAAACAACAGTAAAAGGTGTAGTGGCAGAGAAAATCCTACATTTTCCTTAAGCTGCAGAGCATTTGGTCTGTAGCTGTGAAAGTGTTAAATTATAAATGTCGTGTAACTCAGACCCTAACCTTGATCATAACCCCAGGGGGGGATACTCCGATCTCAAGTGACATGGTCTGATGGATGATCAAAGGATTTTTATGGGTTTGACATTTGATTTTAGGATTTTTTAGGTAGGAAAATTTTAGCAAGTATTCTTTATTGGTAGCTTGATTTAAGTAGGTTTTTTTGGTGGTATTCAAAACCATTTGAAGATTCGTGATAGTTATATCATTTCATGATTTCTGCAAATTGTTGATGGTTTGGAAATTGGGCATTGGATTTTTGGGGGGTTAAATGGATATTTTTGGGTTTTGTTTGAAGCCCTAGGGATTTTTTTAGGTGTTGATTTTTACCCCCATTCCATCACCCCGTCACTTGAAATCCGGAGTACCCAAAATATCACCCCACCATGCGGGACCATAACACTATCACCAGCAACTACCTGCAACTCAAACTAAATCCATCACCTAAGCCATATATACTTAATGTATCAATCTTGTTACTCTTGCAGGTAACGTTTCCTAAATTCGCAGTCTGGAGAGAGGCCTTGAGGAAAAACTTACCGGATCCATGAGCATCACCCTTTTAATTTCCTGTTTTTTAACCACTTTCATTTCCTTTTTCTTATCTTTCCAAATTCAGTTTCCATTGCAACTCAATTTACACTATAGTCAAGAGCGTTTTCATTTATCTAGAGTTTGCAGTCTTTCTTTAAGTCATGAAAGTATGTTAAATTTCCCAACCTAACAGGCTAATGGATCTGCAGCAAAGTCTAAAAGCTGTAAATTTGTACCTCAAGCTGGTTGCTGTAAGGATGGTGAGTTTACCATTTATTTTAAAAATTGATTTTCAACAAAATGATAATCGACGGATATGGGAAAATACCAGCTAATACCAAAAACAAAAAATATATCTCTTATAAGTATGTTTAAATTACAATTTACCAGAAATCAAGGCATTTAAGGCCAGTAAAGTACATTTCAGTATTGCATTAGTGGGATCAGTTCAGGGTTATACACATAACAACTTCCTAGTTCTGCTGTATTGTGTGGATTGTAATATTATTTAGTTCAGTCCTGAGTTTCATTGATATATCCCTGTATTTTTTTTAATAATTTAAGGCAAAGATGGAAAGGACGGGCAACCTGGTAAGTCACATTAAAATGCAACAATTTTCCTCTGTTACATTTACATTAATGCAACATTATATGAATAAGAAATAATTAGTCACTTGTATAATCAAGTGTTATATTTGGAAATTGCAGGAAAAGATGGGCGCGATGGAGTGAATGGTGATGTCCATTATTTTATTAAATATTACTTGTAATAAAGGCTGCGGAGTGTGGGTGACAACGATTGAATGTCAAAAGGCTTTCGCTCCGATCCAGTGCTGTACTTTGTGTGCTGGTCAAAATATACTTGATTACAAGTGATATAAGCTCCAAACGCACGTGTTCAAAGTGTGTTCTGTGCATTCCATACATTCTTTGTCGAAGTCCTAGCGAATTTCTGCATACATGCATGGAGATTAGAATTGCAGGCTCCTCTTGTCACCTGTGATTATCCTTTATACAACTACAAACATGTCAATATATACTTACCAACTCTTTCTGAGTCAAATTAATTAATGCATGAGATTTTCGTCCTGTTATAACAGGAGTTTCTGAAAACGTCCCAGCTACTCCCGCATATTGCCAACAATTTTTCGAAGACTTCCAAACTTTGCCAAAAATTTTGTGAAGTTGTTATGACAACTTTTGAGAAATTTTGAAGTTATTTCAAGCGTCAAAGGGAAACCGAATTGAATTTTTGTCATTAATCATGTGTTAAAGAACAATTCATCCGGATTTGTTTGTCAGGTGTGAAAAATTGTCCTTGTCGATGAGTGAAATCAAGGTCTAGAAATAAGTCCCAAGGCATGAACCTCATGCATAATGTGTTAGAGTTGGCAGGCACACTGTAATTATTCTCAAAATAAATCTTAAGCATGGGCTTCCTTCTTGTCATTCCCGGCCCCTGTTGTCAGTGTTCTACCCTAGCTTGTAACATTACTAATCTAAGGTTGTACTCCAAGAAAAATTGTAAAGAGTCCAGTGCTCGATCTGAACCTGTGAAAAACAGAGAGCCAAGCATCAGATTTTTATGGGAAAGCTAAGATTTCCTAGTTGCTCAAGATCAAAAGTAAGTGTTTACAGGCCACTGACTGGGCACTGCTGGTCAGCACCAGCAGTGGAACCTCGATAATGAAGGGCCAAGGGACTGGCAATAATATTATTTAACAGGCTATAACGAGGTTTCATTTTATTGAGGTTTTCTTTCATATATTTTACTATTACTGGGGTAAACAAAATATCTTGTTATACCAAGGACTTTGTTATAATTATAGAGGTTCATTATATTGACGTTCCACTGTATCACTTTAATTTGTTTATTGTCTTGAACACAGGAAAAGATGGCCGTGATGGACGAGATGGCAGTGGAATAAAGGTTGGCTTTTTTAAGCTTCAACAGTGCTTTCTTTTTTGCTGGAAAAGTTCGGAAATTGAAATTAAATAACCCATGGAGCTGTATGTCTCCAGTAAAATGGTCTCTGTTGTGTGAATGTATCAAGTTGCCAAAAAAGAGGGGTTTTTTTGGACATTTGGGCTTTTCTCTTTCCAGAGAAAGAAAAATAAGAAATAAAATTATTTTTAAAAAATTAATAATTTAGTTAAATGTTCTTGTGTAACAACCAACTTTTGGGCTCACTGTAACCTGATAGTTTGCAAAAACAAAACATGACTAAAAAATAATGAAAATTATGGACTTATTATAGAATGGAACACAACTCTAAAATAGTTAGCCAACTTTTTAAAGTTGTGTCACTGTGTATTGGACAAATAAAAATTGCTACATAAAAACTATCTGATTTCCTTTTTTCGTCACTGGTTTACTTGTAAAACTTGCTGTTGGCATAATTAAGAGGAAAAGCACGGTTGCTCATGTTTTAAAAACGGAACCCACAACTGTGAATAAATTGTATTGCGTACACTGTATCTCAGTTAATTAATTTTTTTTTTTAGTATAATTACATTGATGATTATCGAAAATAGCACTATGATTGACTAGGAGCTTCGCTTCATCAGGCTATAATCACCGCGCGGTGATTATAACATTGAAGGCTAGCAGTTTTCAAAATGGCAGCCTAATTTGTTGATGTTTCGGAGTCAGAAATTGATCAATAATTTTATTTTCTCAAATAATCATCAATATAATAATTATATTGATGATTAAAACTAGTCACCTGAGGCAAGCTGAATATCGGCAAATATTCACCTCGACTTCGTCTTGGTGACTATTCGCCGATATACATGTTGCCTTCGGCAAGTAATTGTTAAATAATAAAATGTAATTTGACACTTTCATTTTTTTATGAAATGATACCTATCTTGTTCACAGTTAATGTTGGCAATATGCTGGCTCCTAATATGGGAAGTTATGGGTGGTTCAAAGGCAGTTGGTTAAGATTCATGGTTGGCCTGAAGCTGTTTTGATTACTTTAATTTAACAAAAAAGTGAAAAAAGGTGCATTAGCTACGTGTTGATTCTTGATTTTTTTGTTATGATAAGTAAATAAACTCATTTTAGTGGTAGTACTTGCATGTCCATGAAGCTAATATAAATAAAACTATAGTAGTTATTTTTTCAGTAATAGTTTTCGCAGTTTTGGTTTCACTTTTATTTGCAAATATCTATGTTAGGGAGAAAAAGGAGAAACAGGGATGCCAGGAAAAGATGGAAATGCTGGCGTTAAGGTATTATTGACATGTAATGCTTTTTAAATAGGGGTTTTGAGTTTCTGGATCGATATATTTCCATAAAACGTCATTGAATATAAATTTAATTTAAAATGAACGATGCAAAATCATCAAGATCATTACCAGACCAGTTAACTTTATTTTGATCTCCACCGCACTGAACACAAGCAAACTGGCTATTCTCTTAGCATTTGTATTAAAAACAATAATGATGATGATGATAATAACAATAATAATAATAATAATAATAAAATAGTAATAATATGTAAAGAGCTCAACTTCCCATGGCAGTTTTCAGTGGTTCCCTCATTAAAGTTACTTAATAAGTAATTAATTGATAAAAAGTACAAACTTGCTCAAAAATAAAAAAAGAGTTAAGATCATAAAATTCGCAGTAAAACGTACGACTTTTTCCTAGAGTAAGCAGTTCCCATAACATTGTTCCTTATTTTAACTTTAAGGATGCCGAGGACAGTTTCTCTAGAAATGCTTTATGTTTTTACTATGCATGTTATCATTTTATCATGAGGAGATATGCAACCAATTAGCTTTTAAAGAAAAAAGTGCGAGGACAAGTTGAGTTAGAAGTTTCTACTTCTACTTCAATACTCTTAAACGCTTTCATGACTAAGAGATTAATAATGCAGAATAAAAAAATAAAAATAAAATAATAGAAATAAGATAAAAGATTAATTAAAAAAACGTTGCTTAGGTGATAACAAAAGTTGCTTGATTGCCTACTTTACCTTCTTAGCTTCGACTTCTTTACCATTATTATTATTATTATTATTATTATTAGACGTAGTAGTAGTAGTAGTAGTAGTACTAGTAGTAGTAGCAGTAGCAGTAGCAGTAGTATCATCATCGTCTGGAGTGGTTCTTATTATTTCTGTTGTAGGGGGAGAAAGGAGAACCAGGAGTAGATAAAAACACTACTGGTGGTGTTAAAGTAAGCGTAACTTTATACTTCTTTTTGAAGACAGAAATGACCAATTTTCAGGGCCCAAAACAAAAAGGAAAGGGCATGCTTTATCCTTACAGCAACAAAGGACTCATTCGATTTTCTTTAGTGGTCCTGACCTACGAATGAAGAATCATTAATATTACCTTTGATTTCTCTACAAAGGGTGAGAAAGGATCTCGTGGTGACAAAGGATCACAAGGAGAGAAGGGACCACAAGGACAAAAAGGAATTCCGGGAACGTGTGATACAAAGGTAATTATCATAAAACACTTTCCAGATTTTCAATCTCTGTAACCTTTAGTATATATACTGGGGGTACCTTCCGGCAAGGGCCAACGAGGCATAATATAAGGCATAAATATTTTGCGTGGTAATACACATAAGAAAAAAATTGGTGTAAACTAAAATGTGTGAAAAGCGCGCAAGAATGGGGCGGAAGTATAAAGATATAAGCTTGAATAAAAGAAAAAGGTCTAATGATCGAGCGAGTGTCACAGGACAAATAGTCTCTTGAAAGGCATAATGATAGTCTGAAAAACAAAAGGTCCGCAAATTCGTTTCATTCCTTTTCATTTCCCGTTTCATGGGAGGTTAGAGCTGGTTAGGGCTGTTTCAATGTAAGGGCCTGTTTACATGGAGGTGGGGGAGCCCAGGTAGGTGAGGTAACCCGCTTAGGTTGGGTAACCCGCCTGTCCATATAACCTCTCATTTAAATGTGATCACATTTACATGTTAGGTGGGGTAACCCGCCACGTGTTATCTCACCTACCTGGGCTCCGCCACCTCCATGTAAACAGGCCCTAAATCGAGCAGCAAAAAAAACATGCCGGTTGTCAAAATCTCTCGAAAAGCATAAATGAATTTTAAAAAAGGTCCGCAAATACGTTGCATTCCTCACAGGAGGTGAGGACTGGCTCAATGTAAATCGACCTGCGAAGAACACGCTGGTTCTGACATAAGTTTTGGGAATACAACCCTATGCCTTGATCAACTACGGCTTAAATTCAGTTCACAAAGGAAAAAAGAACACTGAAAACCCTGGTTCTGAGTCGAAAAGCGAACACGCTACCTCAATATAAATCGAGCTGCAAAGAACAAGCTACTTCTGACAAAACATTTGAGCGTAAAACCCTATTCCTTGAACAGCTGCTGCTTTAAACACAATTTATAAAGCAAACCAGAGCACAAATTGCCCTTTCAAACTAGCAATCGTATTAAAGCTTGCTCACCAGTTAGGTCCTCTTGAACGGGCAACGAACAGCTGCACACTGAATCACCCAATCTTGAACCACGAGTTGTAAATACAAGACCATGACGTCACTACCCAAATATGGGGTCTTACTTACACCCAAATATGGCCAAAAATGCAAATTTTAGAGGGTTACACAGAATTTGAGATTTTTTGCCTACATTGCGCGGCGTTATAATTCTGCCGCCGAGTCAATCTCGCTTCTTAGCTCGGTTGCCTCGTTGGCAGTAATTCTTTTAACGCCTTATTAATTTCATTACCATAGACTTCATACACGTGTTGCATGCACGATCTCTTCTTGTTCCTGTTATGTTGAAAGGGAGAAGGGTGCGTGAGTTGATGGCAAGGCCATGACAAGAGACAATCGAGATGTTTACTGGACGGTACAAGTCAACTCACATGTCCCACACGTTCAAGGGAAGAGGAACAAAATAATACGCGCAGTCTTTGTTCACTGACACCAAACATGATGTTATCATTATCATTAGATTTATATCTCAATGTTACCTTGGAAGCGGGAGCCTTTTTAAATCTCTTGATGTTCGATCAAGGGAGATTGCCGACAGAAAAAGTTGACTGCATGGGTGTTGAACCCTATAGTTTGCATAAATAACTACAATAGGGGATTGTAAGCTTTGTTATTAAATTGTATTTTGTTGTTTTTATTTTACCTTTTAGAGCAAATCGAAGTGCTGTTTAGCGGGTATGAGCATTATTTGTTACTGTTGTCTACGATGTTCATGTACATTGATTCATTGGAAAGAAGAGCTGCCGAATTTTAATTCCATGAACACGTGGCTTCTTCACATGTACATTAAAACTGCAAAAACAATACATGAGTTACATGTACCTTTCTACCTTATTTTTCTATTTATTCTAGTTGTTTTTTATAGTAATTGCTTGATAACAAAGATTTTCAACATTTTTTTTCTTGTAGAAGGTTGCTCTATTGGATTCCACTTCTTTGAGAAAGTTCAAGATCTTCCAACCCGAGGAACATTAGATGTTGAACATTTCACCATTGATGGAAGCTTGTTTCTTGCTTTTGCCAACTATCATGGGGACATTAAAAAATTCAAGACAAGTTCCATAATCTACAAGATGGATAACTCGACTGGAAGATTGTCTTTGTACCAGGCCCTGCAAACAAGAGGAGCGCATGGCCTGGAGTACTTTTCTATCGCTAACAAACATTTTTTTGCTGTGGCTACTAATTACGATGGAACATATCGGCTGGACTCTTCAGTCTATCAATGGAATGGAAAGCTGTTTGTCGACTTTCAGAATTTGTCGACAAACGGAGCAGGTTACTTCACCTATTTCAAGATACTTGGGGAAAATTATCTCGCAGTAGCCAACCACTATGACGGAAGTACCTATTCTACAAAGTCAGTTATCTACAAATGGAGCAGCGGCAAATTTAACAGATTTCAAGACATATCAACTGAAGGTGCCTACGGATGTACAGCGTTTGTGATAGACGGTGACACATTCATCGCTTTTGCAAATAATTACAACTCCCAACACAAGTATTCTGTTCAGTCCACTGTGTTCAAGTGGTCAGGAGGTCACTTTGTTAAACTGCAGTCTCTTCAGACTTACGGAGCGAGAGATGTGAAGTCTTTCAACGTCAACGGTCACACGTTCCTCGCTTTTGCCAACCAATATTCTGGAAGTAAGTACAACATCGATTCCTTCATTTACAAATGGGATGGAAATACATTTGTCTTGTTCCAATCCATTCCTACTCGAGGAGCCTCCGCATGGTGTCCATTTGTGATCAACGGTCTCACCTATCTTGGTGTGGCTAATTACCATGGTGACAGTCAGAAATACAATACTCAGTCAGTTGTGTACCAGGCCTCTGGAGCAAGGCTCATCAAGTACCAAGAGATTCCCACACATGGAGCGCATGGTATGACGTCATTTGAGTACAAAGGTCATACTTACCTTGCAGTAGCCAACTACTACAATCGCCAGAAGCACAACATAAACAGCGCCCTGTACAAATGGGTATAGAGCACAATGCCAAGGTTCAAGCATAAACGAGACTGCATAGCAATGCACTAACACATTTCATTTGCTAAGCTAAGAAAAAAGAAACTTTAAACGTGCTGTCTGTCCATTAAGAAGGGTGCTTATGCGAAGGGAATGATACAATGACCACAATTTTTTAGTTGATTAAGTGAAGTGTTAGAAAACAGCTGTATTATCGCGGCGATTAGTTGCAATAAATATGTGCTTGGATCACTAATAGGCTGTGTACTTTTATTTGAATGAAAATACCACAAAAATGAATCTGTGGCATAGCTTGTATTTCTGTTCATCTCAACGTAATGTATTATAATGAGCACAGCTTGAGCAATCTGCAAACGGAAAGGAAATTTAAAGAATGTATAGGCTGTGAACGGTGATTCCATGTGCAAGTAACGCGAGTTTTTATTGGCCGATCGATGATCGTAGCAATATCGACTGAAGCATTCAGGAATGGCCCTACTTTGAAAACCGTCATTTTACACATTGCCAGTAAGATGCAAGATGTGGTCGAGCGCTCAGATTTTTAAAACCAGCTCAGCTTCATTTGGAATAAAGGCGTTTTAAGGCTAGACGAGCCGTTGTCTGCTCACTATCTGCCTACAAAGAGCCAAAACTGGGCCAGAAACGTCGTTTACAGGTCAAGCACTTTACGGAGTCCTTTTGCCTAGTTAAGCCAGTTATCCCATGTTTTCCTTCTCTTTTGCCAAGTAAAGCCCCGTGCAAGCGGTCGCAACTTTCTTGGCTAACAACAAATTGTTGGATGATACATGTTGCGTCCGTTTGTACACTTTGTTGCATGTTGTTGCGTGTGCGCAAAGTTTGAAACCGGTCAAACTTTTGAACAACTCCCAACATTTCTTTTGTTTCGTGATCGTCAAAGCGTAGCGCAACAATTTTGGATCCGTTTGCGCAGCTTTTCCAACATTGTGGAAGCCACGAACTCGCATTACACATTGTCTTCGAATTCTTATGGGTTGTACCCTTCCCAGTGAGGGTAAAAGGTCGAATGGCATGTGGCATGACTTGCGGAATGACATAATTATGCGGTTACTGCCGGCTCAAACCAACAAGGCAGAGCAGAAAGTAGCGATAAGCTTTACTGCATTCGTACCTATGTAATATTTAATTAATACTTAATTTATTTTTGGTGTTTTCAACAATACTTTCTCTCTTTCTGTCTACCATTATAATATAGTCAAATGTCAAAACGCTAGACGGAAAAAAAACGTGAACGTGAAGTCGCTCTGGCTACAATTCTAGGAATTGTTAATTAATACGGTGGACGAATCAGATCATATTTGAGACCAAACGAACGCCCCGAGTCAAACATTAATCTGTAATTCAGAAATTGAAGCTACTCTCTGTCTCCTTTCGGCCTTTCCGCGTGTCCGTTTGATCGTCAAACAACAAAAACAAAAAAAAAAAACGCTAAAACGTTAGGAAGGGGAAAAAAAGAGAAAAAGACGCACACTCAATTGCCAGGATTCGAAGTCGCCCTTCGCCGCCAGCTGTTAGCTTCGCGTGCCGAAAACGTAACCACGCAGCCAAGGAAACAAAATACAAGATCCGTTTCGTCTCTGAATATTATGTCACGATCACGTAACCCGCCCTCTGAAAAGAAACACTTCTCATGTGGTTTCAAATACAAATATAGGTAAAAGGAATCTGTTAAGTTAATCGTCCAAACATCTTTTGCAGAAAAAAATTAAAGTAGAAGGGAGCGTGACCTTCCTTGAAAACATCTTTTCTTCAAAGGCCGACTTTCGTGATGTAGTATCGGTGCTGCCATGCAGCCCGACTATAAAGGCAAGAAGATTCTTTGTGGCGGTGTTGAAAAGGCTAATCGACAATGAGCCTTCGTGGCCGTGATTGTCATCGTATGTCGAGCCCGCAACATTAAAACAGCGGCTGCGTTTGCAAATTGATTGGCGCCAAAAAAGGGGCACTTTTCAGTTTAATTTATTTCTCTGGGTCATTCTGCGTATATTACATTCCGCATAATTATGTCATTCCGCAACCCATGTCACATGCCATTCCACAAACTCATTCCTCCATTTACACTCACCGTACCCTTCCCACGATACACTGCAGGTCCCAACATTGCTTGGAGTTGTTGCATATGTTTTCACACCACTGCCAACACGGACGCAGCGACTCCCAACATACCCTCCCACCTTTCGTTCGGCGACGCGTATCCCCCTCTCCGTTCTCTGTCTTACGACCCTCTGCCTTTGCAAAATCTCGTTTCCCATAACTTTGTTTCGCAATAGCAGTAAGGGGTTGTTCTTACAGTGGAAATGGTGTACGATAATGATCCAGCATGATTCAAAATTATCATGATACCGAAATATCAGTTTGTTTTTCTGCTAACGGCATGCAGTGTAGACGCCATAACAGGAAACAATGAGAAACTGAATGTAAAGTAAGGAGGACGTTCACATGGGACCGAGCAAATTTACTTCCGGTCAAAAAATTCGTGAGTTTAGGATTCTTTTTACTCCCTGCACTTCTCATTTCAACTTAGCCGTGTACTAAATCAAATTCCGAGTATTATTCATGCAAGTCCAAAGAACAGATTATCGACTTACCACCAAGTTTCTGAAAGCAGATCGAGGTGAACAATACATCAGTTCACTGAAATTTGAATAGAATTTCATGGATTACACTTCATTTCTTTAGGAGCTGCAAATTGCCGACAACTAACCTGAAATATTCATTTTCAAAAAAGGCACTTTAGTTTGCCATTTATTTTTTTATTTTCAAGTCAGTCCGAGTTCGACACAGACTCCGCGACTGGGTTCGAGACTTTCGCTTGTTTGTTCATAAGTGCAAAATGTTTTCAATAGTATGTATAAACTTTCTGCATGAGTGCCTTTTAAAAATAAGATTGAAAAATTATAAATGCGAGGCTAACCATTTGCTCAAGGATAATATTTGTTAAATAATAAGAAGACATTTAAAGGGGATTAAGGACAGAGATTTTAACCCACAATAACATAGCAGGCGAACCAGGTTTTTAAGGTTGTTCGCAGTAAAGTTTTAATTTAGAACCTTGGGGTGAATGGGAGATCTGTTTAACAATGAATTTAGTTCGTCCGACAAACAGAATGAACAAAGGATGGTATCGCGTTTATTCATGTCCTTATTATGCTAACATTGTTTCAAAAATCTTGTCCCTTTATACGCTTGACACTCATCAGTTTACGTCTGAGCCGCTGAACCACTGAAAAATAGTACAAAATGTGTCGATTGATCTTCCTCCTGGCTTTGACCACAGGGGCACCCAAGGGATCTGTTCCTCACAATATCTGTTCTACAGAGAAAATTTTGCTGGCTGGGAACTTAGGTTTCGGCTGTTCTCCTGGGAAGTAAAGTCTTAAATCTACGGTCAAGAATTTATGAAATGTATCAAAAATTCTTGCTGGAGGTATTTTATCCCTCTAATTTGCTAGAAATTTTCTTTGTGCGCGAATTGTGCGCGCGGAGTCGCACGCTGATGATTTATTTACCGCTGACCAAAAAATCTGTACGTGGGCACCGCTGTTAGAAATTAGAAATCAGGCTACGCTCCGCCATTGGATAACTGGCATCACTCGAAATTTGGCGGTCTTTCCAGGCGGTACGGTTCAGTGGCGGTTAGGACGATTCATGAGATTCATGTTTATGCAAAAGGTAAGGTTTCTTTGAATATGCTGAATATATAGAGAATACCTCATGGAAAGTGCTGGCGTATGGTATTTACGCACGAGTAGTTGACGTATCAGAAATCGAACGAGTGAGCGCAGCGAACGAGTAAGATTTCTGATACAAAAACAACGAGTGCGTAAATACCGTACAAAGCACTTTCCATGTGGTATTGTGTTTATTATATACATACTGAGTCATTCATCATTTTGCGGGCCTTTTTATTTTAAATCTTTCAAAAATGCTAAAATTTGCCGCTACACACTTACCGCAAAATGACAACGAAAACGAAGTATCAGCTTTTTAGTAAAAACGTTTGTTAAAAACATAAATGACGGTGAGGATATGAGGTTTAATCCAAGAACTATAAGTAATCTTAACTGTTTGTTCTCAATGCACAATTGAAAATGAGTGAATTTAAGTAAAATGGCCGGTTTCAATATAAGCTTAAGCTTAAATGAAAGGCAAAGTAGCTCCGACAAAAAGCACAACAAAAGCTTACGTCTCGTTCTGTTTATCCCTTTCCGCTGTTGTTTCACCTGCTCTCTACCGTATTTTTTATCGACAGTGAAACAAACGAAACTATTCCACTCCATTTCCGAAATGTTTTTCACTTTTTTAGCGAGAAAAACTCCTTGAGGAAAACTTTTCTCGTTGATAAATGTGTGCGAAGCGGCGCTGCAAGCTGCAATAAAAGGCGGGAATTTTGGCGCGAAACTCCTACACCTCTGTGGCTTCTGATTGGACGTATCATTTTTCTCACACGTGAAAAAACATCGTTCGCGATTCTGATTGGACGTATCGTTTTTTTCACGTGTGAAAACCATCGTTCGCTCCTCTGATTGGCTATAACTAATTTGCGTACGAAAATTTACGACATAGCTTTTTGGTGAGTATTTCTCAGTATGTATATAATAAATTGTCTACTATTATGCATGCATGTTATTTTTAATTCCCTTGTCTTACTTATCTGCATGTCACTAAATGCCATTAAAATCGCTTCTCGGTTTTTTGGCGCGCAGCCGTTAGCTTTTCAAAACGATTCGTCTTTTCTTAGTCTTATTGTTAGTCAAGGGTTGGCTTAGTTTCAGTGTGTATTGGTAGTTTTCGGATCAAACCATTTCGAAAAGTGCGAACGAGATGCTGGAGATAAAAAGGATGAGTAATGAATTCAAATTCTTTAATTGTAAAATGTGCCTAGTCGTACAGGACAATTAACCTCATGTTTTTCTCAACCGTGTAAATTGATGTCACAAGGGGAAACAAACTTAAACATTTCCTGTGTAAGCTCATTTTTT